TTGTGCCCTGAAAGATGCCATAAGTACTGTTCACAATGGCACAAAAATATATACGTACCTCCCCCCACACCAGCTCCCTCTCTTACTGTCTCAGCCCCTCCCACGCCCTCTTACTCTTAGCCCCTCCCATACGTACTCCCTATCATACTGTTGTAGCTCCTCCAACACCAACTAGCTGTATTATCTTAGCCCCTCCCACAACAACTCCTATTCTTACTGTCTTAACCCCTCCCTCTCTTACTGTCTCAGCCCCTCCCACAACAACTCCTATTCTTACTGTCTTAACCCCTCCCTCTCTTACTGTCTCTCTCCCACAAACAGTCCCTCTCTTACTCTCTTACTCGCTTCCTGTCTTAGCCCCTCCCACACACGCTTCCTGTCTTAGCCCCTCCCACAAATGCTTCCTGTCTTAGCCCCTCCCACACAGGCTTCCTGTCTTAGCCCCTCCCACACATGCTTCCTGTCTTAGCCCCTCCCACACATGCTTCCTGTCTTAGCCCCTCCCACACACGCTTCCTGTCTTAGCCCCTCCCACACACGCTTCCTGTCTTAGCCCCTCCCACACACGCTTCCTGTCTTAGCCCCTCCCACACATGCTTCCTGTCTTAGCCCCTCCCATACCCACTGGCTCTCTTACTCCTCACCTGGTGTGCTGGTGACCTCCTGTATATGTGGCTGTAATAGTACCTTCTGCTTGGTTTGTTTTAAAGGCCATTGCTGAACAGGTAACAGAGAAGGACCTTTCTGAAGGGAGACTCTACCCTCCTCTCACCCAGATCCGTGAGGTCTCCTGTAAACTGGCTGTTAAGGTGAAAGGCTGCCCATATTATCCCTCCTTTACAATGTGCCTTTATAGTAATAACCTCTCAGGCTCCTTTGAACTCATTGCTAGTCCCGACACAGCTGTGTGTCTTTGTTCTGTCTGTATGTTCATTGCAGGTAGTGCAATATGCATATGAACACCAGATGGCAGCATTGAGTCCAGAACCAGAGGACAAGGAAGCACTGGTGCGCTCACTGATGTACAGTACAGACTACGAGGAGTTTGTTGCGGACTCATACCACTGGCCAGAGGATGCCGCGAATGTACAGACTTGCAAATTGTGACCTGGGGGGAGGGGGCAAAGGGCTGGTGGGAGTGAGGATAGTGAGATTCCAGCGATTGTCATGCTCAAGCTGTATATGCACAAAATCGATCCCATCTGTATAAATACATGAAACTATATAGTGCTTTAAATTTCTTCACCCGCAGAACAGCAATGTGATGCTAAGTAAACATTTAAAAAATCGGTCTCGCTACATGTTCTTTCGCTGCACTGAGAATGAGACACACAGAGTAACAGAGTAAGCGATGCAGACGACCAGGCAGACCCTGTGGTTTTCTGCAGGAAGTGCTGGGGGCCACATCTCCTAGAGGCATAGTGGATAAACTGGGGCTAACGATAGGGGATTTATTCAGCCTTTGGGGATGTTGCAAGAGTCGTCTGAAGTCCCGCTCCCAATCCTGATTGGCTGTCAGCTGGACGGGGGTGGTGGCGTGGGAATTTCAGGTAATGGTAAATTCTTGTTAATTTTGCGTGATTGTCTTTTACGAAAAGCACTGAATAAAATTTGCTGGGTGCGGGGATCCCTTGGTAAATTTAGCAGAACCCCCCCTCACCCCACTACTGAGCTTGTTATATGTGCTTCCTTGTGCTTGTTTGACAAGTTATGCTACAGAAACAAACAGCTGATATTCATTCCAAAACAGTGATATTTATTAAGGCAGACCTAGCTGTATTCTCCTGAGTTCCAGGGGAAAAAATGATTTTTCATTTTGATTTTTTTGCATTAATTGTTGGTAAAAAGCACACCCCCACACATGTGATGTCATCCTATTGCCCTAATTGTCCTCCAAGATTAAGATTATACATCCCAGGGGGAAATTCTGAAAAAGGCTTACGGTAGTGGGAAGAGGCGCATTGCTTCACTGGATATGAACCTCAGAGCTCTTCTTCTTTCTTAGCACAGTGCTCTAGTGGAACGACAGTGGGTTGTATAGTATGGTAAATATGAGCAAAAACATGACGTCCTCTACAGAGGACAAAAAACAATTGCTGGATCTCAGCAGGATATCATATTTCTCTCTGTCTGGCAAGGACAGGGACAAAATTTGCCCGAAATCAGTCTGTGATTGCTTCTAGTGGCTTCTGGAAAGCTGAGCAGGATGTCCTGCAGTTTAGAACATGGCCATTCGGACAGCATAGCGCAGGAGAGAGACACTCATGCCTCCACACTCTGGCACTCAACAGGCACCTGTGCACTGCACAGCCGAGAACACAGCTCATACTCTGACTGTGCTCCACGATGTCAAACTTTCTTGGGGAAAATTATCTTCAGATGAGCAACTCCAGAGCTTGGTTTGGTTTGATTATTTTTTCATTTATAAAGAAATATGAAATAAAATGTTTAAACGTTTTCTGTTAAATATGAGGAGTCGCCATGGACACATGTGGCCTTAAGCATCACAGCAGTCATACTTTGAATTATGGGTTTTGCTTTATGGGAAATTATAGTGCTGATATTAAACCCAGACTATAGCAGTACTTTCATTTTTCCTTGCATGAAAAAAATAACTGCATTCTGAGACATTATGGGAATTTGACCTGCCCCTACGAATTCTTTCCATGCGCAGGATCGTCTTTACTGTGCGTTGGCTGCGGGACCCATTCAGATGCTGTCATAAGAAGTCACATTTCTCTACTACACGCATGGAACATTAAAGTCTGGTAGTAACACGCTGGTTTGTAGGTCGACAATATAGGAGATGCTGCAAACACAAGTAAATGGCATCGATTTATCACTGAAGCTTAAGCTGCCTGAAATCTGTTTTATTTTAGTCTAGTATTGGGATGGTCAGAAGGATATGGCCTGGGGGAGCGTCACCAGTATAAATAGGTTGGAAAGACTGGCTGGCACCCAATAAGCATTGTGGGAAACAGGGCCAAGCAAAGCTCCAGGTGCAGTCAATAATCTACCCAACCAGACCAGACATAAATACAGCCAGATCAATGGCTGAGAGTTTGTGCCAGAGGACAGAGACCACACCTCTTCTCCGCTTTTTTCTTCCTCTCATTGGCTATCAGCCCCAGACTCTGTAAGCCCTGGCGGCAAAATCAATGAAAGGGTCTCAGACTTCTCTCATTGCGACTGTCATTAGCGTTTGCATTTTCTGTACTCTGCTGATGTTGGCGATCGTGGGAATTCCCTGAGAACTACAGAAGTCTGCCCTTGGTATTGCATCATTGTTACAGGACAATCCTACTTATATGGATTGTCTGACTGTAACATATATGTAATCCATTTGTAGCACTCTGTAAACGGAAAAGGAGTTTCAAGGCCTTGGATACAGAGAGTCTAAAAACAATATCAATGACTAGGGTTGTGCGATTTGACGATATTAGATTAAAATGTGTCCATGATCTCCTCACCCTATGTCTAAGGCTGAGCCCAGACACGCAGTGGAGGAAACTCATTTCACCTGCTTGTATGTGATCTCATTCTTTCGGTCACTACACAGAGTTCGTGACCATAGGTGAGGGTAGGAACATAGATCGACTGGTAGATCGAAAGCTTTGCCTTCCAGCTCACCTCTCTCTTCAGCTAAAGAGACACTGCACTGACACTGCGCCAATCCACCTGTCAATCTCCCTCACTTGTGAAAAAGACCCCGAGATACATAAACTCTTCTCCTTGGGACAGCAACTCATCCCTCACCAGAAGAGGACAATCCATCCATTTCCAGTTGAGAACCATGGCTTCAGACTTGGAAGTGCTGACCCGCATCCCAGCCACCTCACACTCAGTTTGCAAACCGCCCCAGTGCATGCTGCAGGTCGGCGACGCCAACAGTACCACATCATGAAAGCGAAGATGCAATCCTGAGGCCCTTGAGAAGGACCCTCTCCACCCCTGGCTACACCTAGAAACTCTGTTCATAAAAATTATGAACAGAATCAGTGACAAAGGGAGTCCAACCCCCACTGGGAACAAGTCTGATTTACTGCTGGCAATGTGAACCAAGCTCTCGTTCTGTTTGTATAGGGATCTGATGGCCCGCAACAATGGACCTCGTACCCCACACTCCTGAAGCACCCCCCACAGGACCCCCTGAGGGACACGATCGTATGCCTTTCCACAAAGCACATGTAGACTGGTTGGGAAAACTCCCATGAACCCTCTAGTTTCCTTGTGAGAGTGAGCAATGCATGCACTGCTCAAGACTCAATTTAAACTACCAAGACGTACAGCAGATGGCGCTCAAGGATAAATTTCATCTACCTTAAAACGCAACTGAAGGCTATTTGGAACGTAGTAGCTCACTGTTTCTAATTTCAGAAAGCATCCGATACAAAAAAGTGTTAACTGGGATTTACTAGGCAAATGGATCATAATAGACTTACGCTTGTGCATGACCCTGACCTGGCCGCCACTCCACATGCGCATCAATTAATAGTATAACTGCCCTTCACGTTTGAAGTATCTGTTCACAAATTCAGTGTAGAATCCAGTTTTTTCATTTTATTCTGTCCTAAATGCGGTTTATATAAACAGATTACATCGGCTGACTTTATATAACTTAAAATTGGATTGAAATTGATGCAATGTAACCAGACCACTGAAACCACGACTATCAATTTTTATTATTAACGAAATGGGTTTAAACAACGAGGACTATTCTGCCATATAAAGTGAGAGATCATTGATGTACATTCAGTTTTGGCTCATACTAATTACATAACCAGTAAATGCGGGAATCCGCTCTCATGGCGGAGGGGCAGCATGTGAACTGGCGCACTCCGTCGAACGGGTGCCGGGCTCGGAGTCCAGCCTGAACGGCAGGGTAAAAAACCGCATCCCGCGACCGACAGTCCGTAACTATGGCGGGACGGGAGCAGGTCAGTAGGCCGCGATCTATTGAGACACGTAGCGCCGCGCGCTAAAGTTATTTGAAATTATTGTGTCGGTACCGGAAGCGATGCTCGAGCGCGGCAGGTGAAAAGAAGCCTGTTTGTTGGCGCTGAGGTAAGGCTTTGCTGTTCACTTGGGAATACTACGTATGTTAATCATTTTTATTTTATAGCTACATTAAATGGAGTGCCAAATTAATGTTTACATTTAAGATACATTCGTAAATATCTTGTTACTTTCTCAACGTTGCGAAATATTTTGAAGCTAACGTAATGGTACACGTATTACACTTAACTGTAAATTTTAAAAAACGAAATGATGGACTTTATGAATGTTGATGCGGGGAAAGACAAAATGCGGAGTTGACAAAGCACTGCTTGAAGCAAAACAGGAATGTAGGTCACATAAAGCTATTTCTGTAATTCCGCGTGGCATATTCACCCCCCACCAACAGTATCACCCGGGGAGTTCGCGAACCCTGGCTCCCTCGAACCCTGGACCCATAATGTGTGAGTGAGAGAAAGGACAGAGAGACCCAAAATCCAGATCACTGCACGGGTATCATCAGTCATCCATCTGTCTTAATTTTTCACCTTTGAGATGTGTTCTATATTAAACCGCAAACGATTAAAGTCTCCCAAAGGTTCCTTGTGGCAAATACTAAGTAGAGAAGTCAATAATAATAATAATCAGCAGAGCTTGAAATGGCAGTGCCGAGGTAACGTGGGAGCGTTCGATCGCGGCGCACGTTGCGCTTTTCCCACTGCGGCGCATACGCCGCTTGCTCTCATCCTGCTGCCTAATCGCCAGATGGACTAACACATGCTGCAAACGCGGCACGCAAGTAATGGGTTTATTTCTGACCTCAATCTATCACTTCTGGTTCTTGCGTGAACCTGACCGAGCTGCAAAGTGGTGACTCTGGAACTTGGACCTAGTGATATATCTAATTAAATGGCTCTCAGCTCACTTTGATGTCAGTTGTGACAGTAGGTTTGACCCGTTTGTGTAGGCAGAAGACACGCGGGTAAAGTCATAGTACGAAATCAGTATTTTGTATGTGGGGGATAGTTATGTCATACTGTACCAAATTACCAGTTCACCTACACAGTTATGGGAACAACCCAGAATACAACCCATCAATTTACATTACAGTTTAGGACATGGATAGAGGACAGGACACGGAAAAGGACTGTTAGTGTCTTGTGACCTGTCCTGGGTATTATTAGAAGTTGTGGTAAAAGACTCCAGTTTGGTTGGTTTATAATTATGGTATTGCTCTGGTTAAGAAGTTCTACTTGTTCACACTTTAGAGAGAGGAATGGTAGTCGAACTACTCATCAATCAAATTCTAGTGCTATAATCTTGAAAGAAACAAACATGGTGATGGAGCTGAATAGGAGAAGTGTATATTAAAGTGAAATACCTTCCTGGTCCTGTTTCTTAATCTGAATAGACAATGATGAGATAGATCTGTTAAATTGGCCAGTTGACTTGAGTTCAAGAATGCAGCAGTTTTTCCAATTAGACCGATTTCCCTCAATATAATGTGAAATATTTTAATAATTACCTAATATATAATTTACAGCATAATACCAATGATGACTGACAGAAGATAACATGATGGTATTTGGAATGTCATTTTCTATTTAATTATGAACAACTTAGGAAAATAGTCATACTGGTATCAAACGAAGCAGTGTGAGATCAATGTACACGCATGAGATTTGTGTCCATGCTTTATAAAGGTTAACTACTCCCACAAATCTTAGCTACCGCTGAAGGAGTATCTGGATAAAATTTTATTATAAAAGCAATAACTGGAATTATGACATCACAACAATGACCAACAGTATTTGCATTTCTGAGTGCAATGCTCATCCTATAATTGCTTCAATAAATGTATAATGTAGCAAACAAGTCTCGTACTTTTGGACATATTAGCACCTGTTGCACTAATAAAAAAATATGAAATATACTTTTTGCTTTATTATTGTAAAATACCTTGTCTATATGTTAAATAAATTTTCTTGTTAACAATTTTAAATTAATGCTTGATCATTGTTAACTCTGCACTGGGTTTAGACTGACTGAAGTAACAGTCAATTATACTGTAATGAAAATGGAACCGGGCACAGTTCATTTATTCATACTGCATTAACATGGATATATTTAAAACAATGGAATGGATCATTGTTCCCTGTTTCTTCATTAATTATTCTGTGCCACTGGTTGAATGCCATTGAGAAATACATCAAACGGTTTTCAGCCCTCCTAAAACCCATTAAATTAACATGCATATTGAATCTGTTTCCAATAACTTCCTTAATGAATTGCAAGTGCTTGACAATAGGCAAGCCTTTCGTTAATGGCAGAACTAAATGTTAAAAGTGGTTATATGCTGACTGTGTGTTGAGGGAGAGAGTGTGTGATGTAAATGAAGACTAGTGCACTCTAGCCCCCATTAATAACCTGCACTGCTTTGATATAGCAGAACCTAGTGAGGTGGTGCTTTCTCTGGATCGCTTGTGGCATGAAAATCGAACCCGCATCTTATCTCTTTACCTGCTCAAGGGTCGTCTGGAAATGCTCCACGCACACAGGCGACCTGATTTGTTGGGTGTTGCATACCAAGGGACTTCAATGGCAATCATAATTAAAGTGATAGGGTGAGTGTTAGTATAGTGTTAGGGTGTGGCTGTGTGTTTTAAGGTGTTAGATTTGGATGTTAGTAGTGACCTAGTGTGAGTCCGTCTGTGTTTGTCTTCAGCATTGTGTTTCAGTTGCACTTGTGTGAAATGTGCTATAGAAAAAAAAAACTTTAAATTAATATCTTTTATATCACTTTTGTCAAATATTGCCAGTGCCGACAGTGAAACTTACCGACGCTTATTAATGGAGTACGTTGCACCGTTTTTTTTTTATTCTGTGAAACTGAAAGATTGGTCAGATTTAATAATGAAATATAAACATATTCCAAACATATAAATAAAAGGCTGTGTCCCATTTTGATCACAGTCGCTCCCCCCCATAATTAAGAAATAGCTTAACAAAACAACTTTTTCATTCTTCATTGTTTTGGGGTAGCGGTGTAGTTTGTAATTATGTGTGAAGTTTAACCTAAAAGCTTTGTGTGTCTCCCATGCTTATTTAACATATAGGTTGCAGTTCTGTGTCCAATGTGAAAGCGACACACGAAAGTGGCCAGGAGCTTCAAAAGTCCCCAGTCGAGACAGCCCAGGAACTAGGGACTAGGTTCTGGAACTTTAGTGTGAAAGTGCCTAATATTCACCTGGAACCCTGGATCTTTTTCCAAACCAGCACTGACATTCTTCATTTACCATTGAATTCTTATCAGCACCTTGTCAATGGATGTCATCACACTTTCTTATCCCTGTTGCTGCCTATTTAACAGTTTGGGTGTCTTGCATCCCACTCACAGCCATTCAGAGGCCTTCTTGTCTTCTTTAAGTGGTGCTTTTCCTTTGCCACAAAGAACCAAGCCATACCCTGGATAGACTGTTTTCCATTGTGAATTATCTGAGTCATACCTGAGCCATGCCTGCACTGACATGACCCTGCTTTCTAGGGCAATGACTACTCAGAGCTGGTTGCATCAGCACTATGTGATGGGTTGAAATCCACAGTGATTTGTGTTGATATGCCTGGATTATTTGAAGGAAAAAAGGGCATATTCTATATATTATTCATTATTAGTAGTATCACACCTTGTGATGTATTGATGCATTCCCAATAACTCAGAACTTAAAAATTTCCAACCTTTTAAAAGAGTACTAGAGAATGGTGGAACGTAATGAATTTGTAATGCAAATTTACTCAAGCTAATGCTAATTCTGCTAGCATTTGATGCTAAAATAATGTGGTGCTTTCCACTGATGCTTCAGTTTTCCGTCACTGTCGCTCTCCATACCTGGCTACACTTTACCAAGCCGACCATTCTGCTGTGGAAAATCAAATCCAGCTGGAATCGCTCTGTAACTAGTATCTGTTCACAGTAAAGCTCTGGTATGGCCTGGTTCCTGTAGTTTTCTGAATATGAGTAAGATGTTTTAGCCCAATGTTTAGATTTCTCTGTCAATTATGCATAACATGTCAATCAGTCAAACCCAAACCAAGCCCAAGATAAAGGAATGAGCTCAGATATGTGACCAAAAAGAGAACTAGTCCAAAAATGTAAAAACCTGCATAGAAAACCAGTGTCAAACTGAAACATGTCCCTTACCTGCTCTGCACTTAGCCAAGGCGTATGACGGAGCTCATTGTCTGACATGTGGTTACTACAAGCACAGCTGATTGCCCCTTGACCTTGGTGGAATCAGTGCAAATTTACATTCCGATTGTGTCAGGGAAGGTTATTTGATGTTTAAATGGAGCCAGGCTTCAAAGAGATGCAGAAGCCTTGTGGTAAATTTACAGTATCTAGTCTAAGGGCATCGTATGATTACAGCCGGGATTTTCTGTAGCCATTGTGCTCTATCCTTGATCACTGCCTACACAGATATCTCATTATCTTTTGTTGACCAGCACAATAGTCACAGGGGGCAGCTACAGCCTGTACAGCGGCCTCACATAATACCTGTAAACAGCATACCTAATTGAAAATAAGGACCAACACCAGACTGTTTTTAATAGAGGATTGTATGAATAGATGAATTAAAAACTGGCCATGAGCTTTGTGCATGAGAAAGACGGATCTCTGACTGTATGTGTGGAAGAGAAAGACGGATAGCTGTGTGTATATTCACAGTATTGCATCCATTCGTCCGTGTATCTTTCCATCCTTCAAACTTCTGTCCGTATATCCTGGTCAGGGTTGGGAAGAGGGTACTGAAGACTATCCCACGCAGCACAGGGTACAACAATGCATTGCAGTATAGGTCATGGATGTTAGTGCCAAACCAAAATGGAGGTGATATTAGGAGATGGCAAGTTAAATTAAGCTGGTGCATGAACCAAAGACAGACTACAGTCAATGCAAAAGATAAAGGAAAGTAAATTGTTGTAAATGACAGGTAGGAGCCTGGAGTGGTTAGAATTAAATAGGCCTTCCATTAAAGCCTCTGTGTGGGCATTTCGTTTATCTGCAGGTATGCGCAATTTGCACTGCAGTATTCTTGTATATAAAGATCTACATGCTTGTTCTGTCTCCTCCTTATTGCGGGGCATGTTATTCCATCTTAACATGACTTTGGACAGCTGTCCTGTAGTGTCAGTAGAAGCCCTGCTCATGCAAGCCTGATTTGGTCATCCTGCTAACACTGACCCAGAGGGACTCGCGGTTCGGACATGGCACCGCAGGCTCTTGTAAACTGAAGTGGGTCTCTGCCCCCGAAAGTGCCGCCTCACGTTTTTGGTTGAGCTGGATGACAGATCCAGCTGAGGACCCTGGAAGGTTTCAAGTTGGGAGAGCACTAATGCGTAGGCTGGTGATGCGGGGTGGGACTCTGGTGCCCTGTGAACCAGGCCAAGCAGATCATAAGACTCTCGGCTACTCAGGCCTGAAGTGATATGATATGAAGGCTGGGCCACATCTTCCAGCCAGATTCTTATAAGAAGAGGGAGTAACCAGGAAAGATGCCTTCACGTTGATGGGCTGTGGCAAACGGAATTCCACACACCACCCCACACATCTGCCATGGCTGCTATATCCCCTGTGCTGAAATTGTTGGGGCTCTGGTGTGAAAATGTGTACCCCCCCCCACCTCTTCTACATCCAAGTTACTTGCCTAGGGAAAAAACCATTTCCCTTAGTCAAGTCTCACGGCTCATGGTCGACAATTTTTACTGTTGATTCCCCTCCCCCTCCCCATCCCCATCAGCCATCTCACTATTGTCCCTGCAGCTAAGTTTCCCTTGAGCCTCAGCACAGAATACTATGGACCTATGGTGAAGACCAGCTTCAGCTAGGGCAGCAGTGCAATTATTATGAGTGAGCACTTGTTCCTTCAGTTCACAGCACCTGACTAAGCCATTTATAAGGACCTCAACTTATATCCAGTCCATAATATTCACAATAAAAACAGCTTTACAGCTTTGAAATAACCTTTCCCTTTTTTTTCTGGTTATTACAGATGTATACTCAAATGGATTGGCATTCAATCTATAGTATACTCTGCCCCTCTGACCCTATGCTGGATAGCAGTAGAAAGGTGGATTTTTGTTATAAATTCACCAAAACTTATTTCATTACGGTACATGTTCCAAGCAGCCAAATTATCGAAAACCACTGATGGCCCAGAACCCTTCGTGACCCAATATCCTTCCATTATTCACGCTACCCTCCTTTGGACATATCCTTGAATAGGAATTCCTAACAGTGGGAAAACTCATGTTGTTTTAAGCACTCGCATAACCCCTTCAGTAAACGTAAAGCTGGTCATAATTTGATTAAGTTTGCCACAAAGTGAGCCACAATGCAGCACCAGATTCAACACATTTTAGATGCTGCAGACATTGGCTAAAATGCACACGAAATGGAAAACATTATTTACACTTGGAAATATGTCCCATCAGCAAAACTGAGACATTTTCTCGTTTCTTTCACCAAAATTGCAAAGGCTAAACACATCTTTCTAAAGAAATAAACATCACAGCACTTTTCAGCACAAAATATATCAAGTGAGGCAGCTAGCTCAGCGCAGTTGCTTTTTTCTGGAGGAAGCAATCAGCTCTACATCATATATTAATATGCACCACTATGCAGATATGTACTTCATGTACTATATTATTCATATGTACTATATTAGTTAGATATTTCATATTAAATCTTAAGCCATTTAGCAGCATAACTGTGCAATGTGTACAATAAAGGGCTAAAGTTCATATTCTCGCTGTACTAATCAAACTGAGCATATAAGACTGGATTGTAGAGAGAATGAGCACTTGAAAATGACTGTGCCATATTCATGTTTTGAATATCGTGGAGAGTGTCGTCATGATGATATGCGCTATGTTATGCAAACTGGAAAACAGGTCATAGAGGATCATTGTTTTGATGCAAACATTTCAAGTGCAGCGTTCAAGCAACTGAAATTAAACTGCAAATTACGTTTCATAGAAAATACCACATAATTCTCTTTTATAGCTGAACCACAAACAACAAAAATGGCAGATGAAACTAGGCATGATACGTTATCTGACATATTTTGCAGCGCAGAGTCAGTGAGTGCTGGTGTCACGTTCAGTGAACTCCCCGGGGCATGTCCCTGTTAGGTTCCCTTTTTGTGGGTTCAGCTCACAATATTAATTGGGTTCCGTACTGCAAAGCTTTATTGAACGTGACACTTGGGCTGGATGGACACTTTGTGAAAATAAATTATTGACCAGTAAATTTGACAATTTGGTCAATTAGGCATGTGTGAGGAAGTGTGAAAACTCCTGTCACATGCCTCGGACATGTCTGCAAACCCTGACCCATTCCGCCTCCATGTAAATGTGGGTGCATGTGTTTATTATGGTTGGAGGGTGAAAGGTTACATGTGGAGGTCTTTTTGGGGAAAGGTGCAGCCATTTTGAACACAGTATTCAGAAGGCAACAATATTTAAATGGTATTATGTCTAATCTTCAGTGACATTTGGCAATATGTTATGAAGAGTATTTAATCATTTAGCCTAAAGTGTGTGCCTTTGATTTTAGGTTATCTCTGCAGGGTGTTAAAACAGCACTTTCATACCTAGACCCATTTCATACCTGTTCATGAAGGAAAAACCGGTTTTGAACGGTCTCATGAATTAACAGGCTGAAGTTTTTTTGGAAACACTTTATTTTTAATAATTTATAAACACATTCATAACAAATAATGCATTCATAAAGCATAAAAATGGCTATAAATATTTATCAAAAGGCATAACACATTATAGCCATGTGTATAATGCATTATGAATACTTTATGAAGCTCTCATCTATAATGCACTATTGATACCTTTATAATGCATTATAATGGTTGGTATAAGCAATCAGGAAGCTTTGTACTGCTTTATAAAGGTAACTGTAGTGCATTATAGTTGAGAGGTTCATAAGCCAGACATAATGCATAATAAACATGCCTATAATGTGTTATGCTATTTTATAAATATAGTATTGTTTATAATGCTATATGAATGCAATATAATGTGTTATGAATGTGTTTATAAATTTCTAAAAATAAGTAAAGAGTCTCAATTAAAAAAAAAAATGAATTCAGAAATGGGCATTTTTTGCAGAAGTAATAAGGGTATTAAGGGTAATATCATACATAAGGTGTTATGGGCAGTGGTGTCTTAAAGGTTAGGGAAGTGCACTTGTAATTTAAAGATTTCTGGTTCAAATCCCCTACCAGCAAGGCACCACTGAGGTACCCTGAGCAAGGTACCTCCCCCGGGCGCTGAATTACCTGCCCCCTGCTATGTCACATATGGGTTAAATGCAAAGGACACATTTTGTTGTATAACATAACACACAAGGTAAAAATAGGTGTTAGGCAGTAGAATGAAGCCCTGTTTTGCCCTCCAGGAGGGCTGTCCTATAAGGATGTGACATCATGTGAAAACTAAGAACAGGCTACGGTTTTGCTTGCCAGCCTGAGAAATAACTGCTGAGTTTTGAAGACCACTCAAGCATTTCTGATTGGTGAAAACAGACCCCTTAGCCTTACAGAAAAAATTACACTAAAGCAGGGACCCAGAAGGAGTTCTTCAGGCCTCGTCAAGAGGGGTAGTGCTGCTCAGGTTATTGGGCAAGGGGACATTTGACCTAGTGCTACCCCCCTGCTGCCCCAGTGAACAGCAGTTACATGGATCAGGCATACAGATTATATGGCAGTGTACTGTTGTATTATGATGGCAACCTTATGTCTCTGCAGTGGATGTCTGTGAAAATAACACACAGAACACAAAGAACTTGACCTGTGAAGACTAATGTGGTTTATTTGGCTTTTTGACCAAGGATATGCACTATTAAATGTGTTTCATAAATGCACCTCTTAAGGAACTGAGCAAGAACTGTGAAGAGGGACTGTCCGCACGCTGGCGAAGTGTGT